GCATATTGATTGCAGCTAGACAAGATAAGCGAAGTACTTTGAGCTTTGAAAGCATTCATTATGCCGTTGTTTAAAAACAGGAGGAGAAAGAGCAGGGATGATGAACTATGCTGGTTCAATGTCTGCCATGACGTGAAAATGACTAGAGCTTTCAAATATACAGAAAGGGGATTTTTAAAAAAGTAAAATAAAAAAATACAAAAATTGAAATCTGTTCCAATTGCCATCTTAGAAATCCTTCATCCATTCTGAATGAAAACGCCTTCATTTTCTTAGTAAACCACAAGATCAATTAAATAGATTCTTCCATTAAGTTGCACTCCTTGCTCCAGGGAGGGATATTTATACAGACCATTTCATCCATCACCCTGGCAACAGGGCTGGTCCAGAAACCTTTTTTCCTCTCACTGAGAACAGGGAATTCTGTTCTGTTTCCAAAGTAAGATCCTAAGCTAGTTGGAGAATTTGGGCACCTGAAGCATAAAAATCTAACAAGCAGCTGTCAGTCTGCAAGGCACACAATCCTCCCGTAAGAAACAGCTTCACAGCACCCTTCTTGCAGAACGTGGTGTCAGACCAAACATGCACTCTAGCACCTCATCGTTATGCAGATCTTATACTGACACTCTTAGGTTTCTGACCGTCAATTGCCTAAAAGGACCGGCGGTTCTTTTAGCAGCAGAAATGACCTGTTCAGAAGGAAAGGGTGGTGCCTTGTTAATGGGGTATTCAACACGGATACCAGATTAAAGAAAAAAGATGAGGTATTGTTCTAGTAGGAAAGAATGGTGATGACCCCCATTACTATATATAACAAGCCTATTTATGTATTTGTTCCTGTTCATCACCAAGGTACAATTCCAGCTTTTTCTCTATCACATTGTTTTTGAACTGGGCTCTGTAATAAACATACTGTTATGTAAGTTTTATTTATCCAAATAATTCAGCCCTCCATGGTTACTAACAAATAGGTACAACATCCAGTGATAGTTCTCATGTTAACTCATCTGAGTTGATCATCAATGATTTGATGCAGCAGAATAGAAAGGTTAAGTAGCTTTTCCCGAAAGAAATTTGGATTTGATGCAGCAGAATAGAAAGGAAAGAGGTTAAGTAGCTTTTCCCGAAAGAAATTTAGGTGGTAGCGGCATTCGTCTGATGTAGCACACGAGGAAACCAGAAGCCTCGTAGCTCCTTTAAGATGAACCAGTTTTTATTTTTCATAATGGTTCATTTGAAGTGTTTGTGAACACGAGAAAACTACAAGCCTCTGGCTTCTCTTTCCAGAAAGATATCATGTTTTAATGGAAGTGGTTCACATATTTATTTACTGGCCAAATCTTTGCTTCGTTTAAGATGTAAATTTTTGGATAGAGTAAGACTGCCTCGCCCATTACAAAATCACCATACATCCATCTAGACTTCTCTCTTGATGGCCAGGAGAAAGATATCTGGAAATGATGTTGAAGATTCTTCACTCAGGAGTCGTGATCAAGCAAAGCTCCTCCACATGTACCCCTGCAGGAATGTCAACAGCCCTGCATGTAGAGAGTTCTACCCTTCTCCAAAAATGTATTGGGAACCAGTGAGACATACTGTATAATGTTGGAGCAGGAGTAGAAAAATCCAGGTTCTGTTTCCCACTGAGCCATAAAACTCACTGGGAAGATGGGGATGAGGAAGGCGGGAGCTGTTAGATGACCTTAATTTTATTGGAAGAAAAGGGAGAGATATAAAATGCAGAAGACCAATCAACCAAACACTCAGCCAAGAAGCAGTAACTAAATAGAAAGATTTAGGGATGTAATCATTGGAGTCAGTGGAAGCTAGTGACTTTAATTTTATGTGTATGTGTTTCAGTTGGGATGGATCCTATTTTAGCCTTAACATTAGAAGAAGCTATCCAGCATGTTGAACCTATTTGGTTAATACAGTTCAGCACTTGGATAGCTCCTCTAAACCAGATCAATGTCCCTTTGCAATTGGAGTCAACATTCTCTAGTCCCAAGGTGGAATCCTATGATAATCATACTCCCTGTATATTATGATGCAGCTGGAAAACCAAGAGAAGTAACTATCCTATTCATAGAATGCTTTTGGAGAACTTGTTGGACTTGCCAGTTAATAGACAGCCCCCTTACGTCTTTGTGCAGACAGTGATGTTTGTAGTAGATGGTTCTCTCCATGACTATCCAGAAGTGGATCAAAATGTTCCACACTAGGTGCAGCTTCTGCAGAGCCCAACCCAGAAGCAGCTTCATGTAGAGAAGCACAGGGAACCTCATGGAACAGAATCCAATGTTAGCGAATTTTCGGGGGAGCTATATTCCAAGGTTAGGTGAGGGTGAACGGGTGGGACCAAAACAATGACTACATTGTTGAGCTTAAAACTCTTACAATCAGATCCTAAGCTTTGTGTGGGAAACATTCAGTATGAGGAAGAAACCATACAAAATATGGTATGGAGAAGAAAGCATGGCTGTCTGGAAAAATTCCAGAACACATCAGATTGTAGCCCACAATAGGGCAGATTTGGCACCAAGGCCTAAAATTTCTTACGCTTAACATAAAGTATGCAACTATATACAATTTTTAAGGTTGAGTTTTAAAAGCACAGGCTTCTCACCACCTTAAGAAGGAAAGTGCTTGTAGACCTGACCATAGTCTAAAATTCTAGGTGCACCTATTTCAGAACACATTTTATGGGATTCTGTGAAGGAGGACAAATTTAGGCCACTATGAACATCTCGTGGTCTTCAGAACTAAGATGAAAACTGATTATAAGATAAAGATCATTCCTGTTTTAAATGTGCTTTTTTTGATGTTATGATTGCAGACGGTTGAGAAGGGTGGTGGAAAATACGGGTTGAAATTTCAGTGTGTTCTGTGTTTATAATATGATGCTTCAGTGATCTACAGCATGCTCGTAGAACTATTCAGTCCCAAATAGGAAAACACATATTAGCCTGCCAGTTTTAAACCTGTTCTCTTTATTTATATGAAGTATGTCTACCATAAAATTATGCCAGTTTTTTTTAAAAAAATACATATCTAACTGAGAATGTGCTGTCACTTGATCTTTTTTTAAAAAAAATGATTTATCTCAAAGGGAAAGAGAGAAACACATTTTAATTTTCATTTGAGTCTCTATGCCATTTGACCGATATTATTTGCATGCTCAACCCTCCACCCCTGCAACCAAATCACTTTCAAAACCCTTTATGTCTATATTTTTTGTTACCTGCCTTTATCTCCAATGCCTGCATGATTTGTGCATTACCCTTTGCATGACAGCCACGTTGTTCCAAACTCAAAGCCTTGCAGCTGTAAGGAAACATTCATAGGTTTCCATGTATCTTATTTTTCCCCCTTTTGTTTTCGGTTGTTTGTGTTTGGTTACTAAATTTTGAAAATGCTTGAACGTAAAAGTGGCATGAAACTTGGGTGACACAAGGAATTTAATTTTTACAAATTTGGATTCAAGTGTGAATGCTCCATTGGCTATCAATTCTTCAGTGTGCTGGGATACTAAATATGAGACCAAAATCTGGGCAAAGTTCATTGGACTTTTTCCCAGCTTAAGCAGGGGAAGTTGATTGGCAAAATGTTAATCTTCTCATTCCTGAAAAAAAGATTTTAGGCTGCATTTCGGCCCATAGAGCTTATCAGCTGATTGTCACAGAAACCTTGCTTGATCATGTGGGTTTTAGTTTATTCATTCATTAATAAATCAGTTACAGTGGTCTGGTGGTCCAGATAGGCGGGATATAAATCAAATAAATAAATAATAAATAAATAAATGCAATTTTGTAAACTTCCATATGAGTAAAAGCAATTGTTTTGAGAACTTCTGGATCAGTGGTTCCCAACCTTGGGTCTCCAGATGTTCCCGGACTAAAACTCCCAGAAGCCTTCACCGTTTAGCTGTGCTAGCCAGGACTTCTGAGAGTCACAGTCCAAGAACAGCTGGATAACCAAGGTTGGGCACCACTGTTCTGAAGGAACTGTTTTTCCTTAGTTTTTGTTTTGTTTTGTTTTTCATCATGCACACTTGTGTCATAGCAAGGAAAAAAGTTAGCCTTTGAAGACGATTCCTATTATGGGAGGCAGAAGGAAAATCCCTCTTTTCAATCAGGTTCAATAAACCTGAGACTCTCTAGATATTCATGGACTCCAACTCCCATCAGCCACGAGCCAGTAGGACCAGTGGCTGAGGATGTTGTAGCCCAGTAATGTCAGAAGGACCATAATCTTTCCTGCACTGTTTTAAATGGTGCTTCCTATCAGCAGGTTTTAAAACTAATTTCCTGTTGGTTGGTTCAAAGGGCATAGTGGCCAAAATTCTTGCTGCACAACTCAAGATTGTATGCATAGTGGTTGTGCGAGCAGCAAGACAGAAGTGCTGTTGTCAAAGCCCTTCCACCAGCACAATGCACAATTGGTCGTGCTGGGGACACACAACTGGTTGCGCAATTGCATCCTGCAACTCCTTGTTGCCAGGTGTAATGCCAGGACATTTACACTGGTGTAACTTTATGTTATGCTAACATAAGCAGGATACTGGCCAATAGTAATATGAAAATCTTCTGCCTGGTTAATCAGGATATTATTTAGTCAATTAAAAATTCATTGAGCAGGGGGTTGGATTCAATGGCCTTGTAGGCCCCTTCCAACTTCATGATTCTATGATCCTGTGATTAATTTATAGCACACTGGGAAGTAAATCCCGTTTTCTTTGGAACTTATTCCCAAACGTGCAAACAATTTTCACTTAAACTGCTTAATCAAACATATCAAATTAATCCTCTTTTTCATAAACTACCAAATTGTCAGGAAGTCTTGGTTCCATTGTTTCTTTCCTTATTATTACCATCATTATTAAATTCTCCTGGGTCACTACGGTTGTTTACCACTTTTACAAACTAGTTGTTTTGTCAGCATGAGTGTGACAACAATTAGACGTCCTTGTTTTTGCCCCCCATGCCTTTTCTCCTTCACAGTCATTCAATGACAAGCGTAAAAAGAACTTCATCTTTTCACGAAAATTCCCATTCTACAAGAACAAGGACCTGAGTGAGCAGGAGACCAGTGACCCGGAACGTAAGTAAATCCTCAGAGACGATGATGCCACCATCCCACCCATGCGCGACACGCATGACACTGGCAGCCCCTCACACACACACCTCTAGGCAAAGAGAAAAAAAAAGAGTCAGAGGCAGGAAAGGCGAGGCATTACTACTGTGACCAATGTCTGATAGCAGCCTGGATTCCTTTCCCATGGTTTTTTGGTTGGAAAATGAAGCTGTGATCACAATCCTGCATCAAATATTTTTAAACGTAATCTTCCAGCCCCTTTCATCTTGGATTGTTTCGCATTTTGGTTAACGAGAAAGCCATCGCTATTCACACCTTGTCTGAGCGCTTGTGACAGAGACTGGAAATGTGGATTAGAGCAGTTAAAATCCCACTGCTGCTAAGGGTCACATCATCATCATCATCATCATGTTTAGTTGTA